CAGGGAGCCTGCTGCTCCCTTTGCCATGGCTGGTGGGTGATGCTGAGAGCCTGATCCTGCTAGGTGAGGGGGAAGGTGTGAGTCACACTGAGGGCTGTAGTACAACCACAACCTGGGCTGGAACAAGGAGCGATGGGGACCTGTCCTGTGCCTGGGGATAAGGGGGTGCAGGACTCGGGGCACCCACTGGTGTCTGTCCCCCCAGCTGAAAACAAGACCCTGCCACGCTCCAGCTCCATGGCCGCCGGGCTCGAGAGGAACGGCCGGACGAGGGTGCAGGCGATTTTCTCGCACGCTGCCGGGGATAACAGCACCCTCCTGAGCTTCAAGGAGGGAGACCTCATCACCCTGCTGGTGCCTGAGGCCCGCGACGGCTGGCACTACGGAGAGAGCGAGAAAACCAAAATGTGAGTGGGCTGGGCGGCCTGGGGAGCAGCCGTGCCTGGGACACACCTGGGTTTGGCTTCATCCCCTCTTTGCCTTGCAGGAGGGGCTGGTTTCCTTTCTCCTACACACGGGTCCTTGACAACGATGGCAGCGAGCGGGTGCACACCAGGTAGGAGCATCGTGTGGGGCGACAGGGTGTCCTTGGGGTGGGAATGAGGAATTCCTGAGGAATAACAGCACGGCGGGGTGATTGCTGGCTCTGTGTGGATGCCATGAGCAGATGGGTGCTCTGGGGGTCTCTGCACAGAGCTGACACCTCTGCTCTGGGCCCCCCAGCCTGCAGCAAGGGAAGAGCAGCAGCACTGGCAACCTGCTGGACAAGGATGACATCTCCATCCCACCGCCAGACTATGGCATGGCCTCGCAGGCCTTCCCAGCACAGGGCAGCAACACCTTCAAGCAGCGGCCCTACAGCGTGGCCGTGCCCGCCTTCTCCCAGGTGAGCCTCTCCCACCAGCTTCTCCCATTCTGGGGGGGTGTTTGTGCCCTGGGGATGCTGGACAGACCCCTGGGCACTGTCCCTGCTGCTCTGACCGGGGGTCTCAGCTCCCTGTGCATCCCTCTGGGATGGGATGGGATGGGATGAGCGGGAGCGTGCCCGGCCCCGGGATGCCTGGGGGTGCCAGGGCAGCTCTCCAACCTCTGTTCGTTGTTTTAGGACTACCTAATGCCCTATGGGTGTGCAATTAAAGACTATGCCAGTGGCCTCTGCCAAGCACCCTCCGCTCACTACAAGCCTTACACTAGGTCGACAGCTGTAAGTCCGACGCTTGCAATGTTTCCCTTGGGATTTATGGAAGTTTGGCTGTTTTGTGCCTGGTGATCCGCGTGCCTTGCCTGGACCTGCCCCTGCCGAGCTCCTCTGCTGGGCTGAAGGGATGCAGGGAGCCCGTGGATGGGGAGGAACGGGCAAGGCACGGGGGGCAGTGGCACAAAATGGCCCCGTAAACCCCCAAAGGACAACACTTGCCGACTCCATGGAGTCTCCCACCAGAAACAGGCTGCTCACAGGCAGCTGGAGGTGTTTTCTCTGGCACGTGCCACATCAAGCCGGTGACAGTCCCATGGGGACACTGGGGCAGACCCTGGACAGGATTCCAGAGTGCCCAAAGCAAGCCCAGGGCTTCTTGGATAACAAGCCAGGGAGGATGCACAGCAGATGGGCTCAGCCTAAGCCAGGAGTGTAGGGCAGCTGTCCCACCACAATGAGCACAGTGGGATGAGCCACGCTGGCATCACGTGCTGGCAGAAGGGAGAGGATGAGGAGAGAGAGAGAAGGGCCGTCAGAACCAACCCTTGCACAGGACAAGTCAGCTGGGATCTGCTCCTCTCTGCAGGGAGTGGGCTGGAAGCACAGCCCCATTTCTTGCTGTTTTGCTGGGGTTTTCCAGCAGGATTTGCTGCTGGGGTTGGTGTTTTGGGGCTGGGAGCATTCCTGGGAAGGTGGGAATGTGGGTCTCTGGTTGCTGGTGCACGGCCAGCTCAGAAGCCAGGGTCTCCCCCTCTTTTCTGGAGTTTTCTCCACATGGAGAGCAGAGCTGCTCCAGTCGTATCCCAGGGCAGGCCCTTGCTCAAGGAGGGATGTCCTGGAGGGATGTTCTGATCCCCAGCTGCCCCTCAGTCCCTCCCTGCACAGCCTGCTCAGCACCGGCTAAAGGAGAAAATGGTCCAAAACCCTGTGGGTTTCTGGTGGGAGTGAATACAGGCAGCCCCTCTTTCCACAGAGCATTTCACCGGTGTCTCTCAGTCGTGCAGCCCCTTTCCAACAGTGTCAGCAGCAGCCAGAGCTCTGTTCCTCACAGGGGCTGGGCAGAGCAGAGCGGGGCTCTCCCAGCAGTCGCTTTTCCATGTCTGGCCAGATAAATCCTACAGGGAATGGTGGAACTTCACTCCCTGCTGTCTGAATCCCACTCCAATCATCTCCATATCTCCTTCTCCTCTCCAAATGCATCAGCTCTCGGCCCTGGGTCCTGATGCACTTTGGTTTGTCCGTGTGACCCTCTGGTGGCACCTGAGAGGCACAGCCCACACATCCCTCACTGTGCTCCCTCCTCTCCTCCCCACAGGGTCTCGATGACTACGGGACGAGGTCCGTCAACAGGTAAGCTGTCGCCTTGCTGTCGCATTCCCTGCGAGCTCTGGGTGTCACAGGCTGTGGGCGAAGCCGTGGGGCTGTGTCCCCACAGGGGTCCCTGCATGGGCTCCCCGGGGACTGGGATGGGGCCAGGTCTCATCTGTGAGATGGGGGGACCCAGGGAGGGCAGGTCCCAGGGCCAGCCTGGTGTCCCCAAGCTGTGCTCCTCCAGAGTCGTGTCTCCCAACCTCACGCCTGCACAGGGGAGAGCCCACGCTCCTGGGCCTTTCCTCAGCACTTCATCCATCCATCCATCCATCCCCTGTGCCTCGGAGCTGCCCCATCTCGCTCCCGGGGCCGGGTGGAGCCCGTGGCCGTGCAGGGTCCCCCCCTGCCCGCGGTGCCTGAGCTCGGTGCTGCCCCGCGGCCACTCTGGCATCTCTGTGCTTTGTTCCGCAGCGGCAGTGGCAGTTTGGTATCAACGGTGTGAGGACACCTGGGCTCGCAGCGGCCCCTTGCTGCTTGGAAGAGCTTTCTGCTTCTTTTTCCCCCCCCTTTTTTTTTCCTTCCCTTTCGTTTCTCTTTCTCTACTTCTTTTGGATTTGAAACTCTTGTGATCTTCAAGGAAACCATGGTGCTTATCATCCCTCCCCGGTGTTCACAGTGCCCTTGTTTCTGAAGCCTTTTTGGAGCAGAGCTGCCGCCAGGTCTGTGCTCGCAGCCCGGGCGCAGTTGTCACTTAGTGGGACCCGGTGTTTGTCCTCCCGTGTGATGTTAGCGATGCACTGTCC